CCAGTTAGAATGGCAATCATTAAAAAGTCAGGAAACAACAGGTGCTGGAGAGGATGTGGAGAAATAGGAACATTTTTATACTGTTGGTGGGATTGTAAACTAGTTCAACCATTGTGGAAAACAGTATGGCGATTTCTCAAGGGTCTAGAACTAGAAATACCATATGAGTCAGCCATCCCATTACTGGGTATATACCCAAAGGATTATAAATCATGCTGCTATAAAGACACACGCACACGTATGCTTATTGTGCAACTATTCACAATAGCAAAGACTTGGAATCAACCCAAATGCCCATCAGTGACAGACTGCGTTAAGAAAATTTGGCGTATATACACCATGGAATACTATGTAGCCATAAAAAAGGATGAGTTCGTGTGCTTTATAGGGACATGGATGCAGCTGGAAACCATCATTCTCAGCAAACTATCGCAAGAACAGAAAACCAAACACCGTGTGTTCTTACTCATAGGTGGGAATTGAACAATAAGATCACTTGGACACGGGAAGGGGAACATCACACACGGGGGCCTATTATGGGGAGGGGTTCGGGGTAGGGTTGCAATGACAGTTATACCTGATGTAAATGACGAGTTGATGGGTGCTGACGAGTTGATGGGTGCAGCACACTAACATAGCAAATATATACATATGTAACAAACCTGCAAGTTGTGCACATGTACCCTAGAACTTAAAGTATATTTTTAAAAAAATTTTTTTAATTAAAAAAAGAAAAAATCTCTAACCTCTGATCCACTAGGGAGGCTGATTTGAGTAATAATAAACCTCCGTCCTCCTATTTGGCAGACTTGGAGGCATTAAAATATTTCTTTACTGCAAATCACCATCTGGATAAATTGGTTTTGTTTGTGCAGGAGGCCAGAAGAACATGTCTGGGAATTATAAGAATGGATGGAGGAGCTGCCTATCCCTGTCCCACGGTCTTGTGCACAGATCAGCCTCACAACAGGAAAGAGCCCTGGATGGGGATACAGTGGAAGTTTATTCTCTTAGTGACTTGGGGACATTGGCTCGAGATGAAGCCTGGTAGGAGTGGAAACTCCAGGTCATTTCTATGCCTTTCCTATTACCTGGGAGGTGGACCATTCCACAGTGTTAGCAGGAAGGAAATAGAAGTCAGCCTAGTTAGAGGGAGTGTCTGGGGAAGGCCTAGGGGTGGAGGAAGAAGCTGTGCAGGACAGGGCTTGCCAGTTAGAATGAGTGGGAGGAAGATGAGGGACACAGAGAAGCAGAGCGAGGCAGAGACAGCATGGCAGTGAACAGTGGGGGCTATAGTGACTTCAGAGACCCCAGGGACTAGGTGCCCCCAGTTCCACAGGCCAGTACCAGGGAGCCCTGAAAATCCTCCAGTGGCCAAAGGGTTTCGACTTACATGAGGTGGGGTGTCTTTAGGGGCAAGAGGTAGTGGGGGATGAAACATGGGTGTCAGCCTCTGAAGGACAAGGGAAAGGTGTGGCCTAGACCTCCTAGGATTCTGCATCTGAGATCCAGTCTCTAAAGAGGTTATGGATCATTCATCTCTTCATTCAATTCCTTCATTTGTTATGTGAGAGCACCTGAGTGTGTGTCTCTCACTGGGCCCGTGATGGTGCGGGGTGTGAGTGGGGAAAGAAAACAAGGCACTGTCCTTTATCTGGTAAGCCAGTGACATGGACACTTTGGGAAACAGGATTTCAGGTTCAGTGATAGGGGTTAAGATCTGAGGGGTAGGCCTGGAAATATTTTGCACTGACTCTGACAGTTGAGGCAGGTGATTTAGTTCTGGAGAACAGACTAATCAGCTGACCACTTGCTCTCGCTCCTCTGAGGTTTGGATGCCGAAGATGAGAGGATTTGAACCAATGAATGACTATGGGGTCCTCGAAACCCAATAAGCCCTCACTTCTGGTGGAGGAGAGGATGGGCCTGTGGCTGCACACAGACCTCATGTGACCCTGATCTGCCTTTTGTGTTTGTGTGACTCTGGTTCAGTGACTGTGCCTTCCTGTGCCTCAGTTATCTCCCAGTCAAATAAGCTAAATGGCGAATGGACTGTGGCTTTTCATGCTATCTGTGAATAAATTGTAAATTCTTCACAGTCACATGACCTAATGCTTGGCACAGTGGAGGTGTTCACACAAACAGCATTTATTATTATTCACTTCCATGAGAGAGCACCTTTAGGTCAGAACTCTGGACAAGCTGCTGCCAGGTACATTTTCTCTCTTCTGTTTCTGCTTCTGGGGACATTAGACTTTCTATGGAGTGTCCTAAGCCTCACAAGGCAGTTGACTGATGGCCTACAAAGCTTGTCTTTCTGTCCTCTCCACTCTGAGTCTCCGGTGAAGAAAGCTCTGTGTTTGCCCAGATGAGGCTCTGAGGGCTGAGCCCTGGCTGGTGAGCAGCTCCAGGAGACACAGTCCTCAGACAACTGGTGAATCCTGGGTCCCAGTAAGCCCTGCCACAACCCAGCCCTGGAACAGGCTCCTCAGCTTTATCTGGAGTAAGGATTTAGGGACAGCGGTCTGGGGTTGAGGTTTCTAGGACTGAGGTTTTCTGAGAGTATCTCAAGGGGCCTCTTAGGCAAAGCCCTACTCACTTCTCCAGGGTCTTTCTCAGGGTCAAGTTTATGAAGAGGACATGAGGTGCTTGGCTGAGACTGATCTCCTCCTGCTGAACACCCCGCCCCCCCATCGGACTGTCCTTCCTGTGCAGTAAGTGTCTGCAGGGTCCGGAGACAGGAAAGGAATTCTGATCTGTTGTAGTTTGTCTCCTCTGTGTATGTTCTGCACTAAATGCCAAAACCCCAACATGGGACATAATGCAGAGAGGGACAGAGACACAGTCCAGGCCTGACCACCCTGTGTGTGCAAAGTAGAAGTGACTCCCACCCCCCAACACCCAGGGATCATGTGGAATCACTCACGGTATAAGGTGAAATGTCCAGTTACTCCTTTAGTCTCATCACCTCGCTTTGTGATTTGAATGGTGTAGGATCCTGTGTCATTCTTGGTGACATTCTGGATCAGCAGGGATGCATTGGAATATACTCTTTCTCGTCCACTGTATGCAGGCCCAAATACAATCATTTCAGTGTCTATTGTATATGCTGTAATGTAATGCTGGAGGTCCATTATTTGCCCTTTGTACCAGCTGTAGCCAGTAAGATTCTGGGGCAAATTGTGAACAAGTAGCAGAACATCCTTCCCCTCAGAAACTTTGGTTGGCTGAGCTTCAATCGTGACTTGGGCAGTGGTAGGTGGGTTCCAGAAGATTAAAAGTGATGCTAGGAGGTGGAGAGAGCATCAGTCAATATTGAGACCTATGTATTGGGATGAAAAGATGGGGCCTTGGGTCCTGAGAAGATCTCTTCAATCATCAGCCTTGTAGACACACACACACAAACACACACACACCCCTTTTTGTGTGTATGTGTGTGTGTTTTTGTCCTACTGTCCTACTGGGTCAAGATCAGGAGCACGACCCCCATTCCTTCAACCCTTCTGACCTCGGCATTTTTCTCTTTGGAATCCTCTTCCCCAGAGGTCTGCACAGCTCCCTCCACACTGCCCTCAGGTCCTGCTCACATCAGGGCATCCTTAGACTTCTTTCCTGACACCTCCTTCAGAGACACTGGATCTTCCCTTTCTGATCTTTCCCTTCTCTGCTCCCTCCGGAGCTCTGGTCAACACCTGACCTCACATTCTAGATCATTTGCACGTCTGTCTTCCTGCCCATGAGAGCATGAGCTCCGTGAGGACAGGGACGTTTGTGATGTTGATTGCACCCCAGCGCCTGGGACAGGCTGCAGACTCCTGCAGATGTAAGGGTTCCCAGGGACCTCCAAGCCAGGGATACTTTTTTTTCTTTCCCCAATTGTTGAGGTTTTTTGCTGAGGACAGTGTTTCATGTCCTGCTTATATTTTCATCTGAAGTGTCACCTGATAATAGTTATTATTATCATTTTTCAAAATATGGTGGCCAGTGATGCTAAACCAGGAGAACAGAACACTTGAGATTTTCCTACCTATTACCAATTCCAGTTCAATGTGATTTTCCTGTTGTGACCCTGTCCCTCTCTGGTATATTTTCCCCAATCCAGGCTCCAACAGAGCCTTCTTTCCTTTATTTATTTGTTTTTTTTCTTTTTGAGATGGAGTCTCATACAGTCTCCCAGGCTGGCATGCAGTGGCGCCATCTCGGCTCACTGCAACCTCTGCCTCCCAGAGTCATACAATTCTCCTGCCTCAGCCTCCTGAGTAGCTAGGATTACAGGAGGACACCACCACACCTGGTTACTTTTTTCTGTTTTTAGTAGAGACGGGGCTTCACTGTGTTGATCAGACTGGTCTTGAACTCTTGACCTCATGATCCATCCACCTCAGCCTCCCAAAGTGCTGGCTTATTTTATTTTTTAGAACTCCATCCTCTCCAGGAGACCCCATCCAATCATTCTGCTTCCTCCTCCTGTCCTCTCCCAGGAAGTTCTCTCCTCACCTGTGAGTAGAAGCTCCTTCCAGGTGATGTGCAGTGTGTAGGGAGGTGCTGAGAGGGGCCCCATGGCCTCTTCTGCCTGTGTGTTCTCCTCTGTGGAGATGAGTCTGGGATCCAGAATCTTTCTGAGCACGGCTGTCAGCTGTGCTGTCCTTCCTCCTTCTGTGCTGAGCCTCTTCCCGGGGCAGGAGCACTTATCAGGCTTATGGGAGGGGTCTGTGCCCAGGTCACCTCCCTATCCCCTCCCCTCTCAGTCCTGCCTCTTTGTCCCTCCTTCTCTTTTTCCTTTTGTCTGTGTGTCAAGTCCCTGGGAATTGTGGAGGCCTCTACCTTTTTCAGCAGTGATTTTGTCACCAAATCTCGGTACACACTATGTGCAAAACAACAAACATACACAAAAAAGAGGCGCGCACAGACACAGAGTCGCACACATACCCTGTAGGTTGGGCAAGCACAGTTCTGGGCCTCAGCCTCCTGCTGTCACAGTGGCTCTGGGTCAGCGTGCACATTCACACCCCTCACCCTCTTTCATCCCCATCTGTCTCTCTCCTTCAGTGCAGGAGGCTGGAGCTGCATCAGGTCCCTGTTATAGGGACACCACATTGTGCTGTGGGTGAGCTGTGTGTTGCCTGGTGACAGGGACCCTTCCTTTCTCTAATTGTGTCTAGCTTGGCTGCAACTTCCAAGGCTGGACATTCGTGACCTGGGTGTCCCGGAGGAAAGTGTCCTTCCTGGAGGTGTGCAGGGTGAATCTCTCATGCCTCTTGGGAGGAGAGGCATGTGCTGGTTGCTCAGTGGGGGCTGTGACTCCCATAGTCAAAGGGACAGTTCTCAGTCACTCTATTGCTCCCTTAGGACTGGTGGATGGGTTTCTCATCTCTTCCTGACCATCTTTGGTGTCCTCTCTTCCCTGCCATTTGATTGTCCTGTGGTCACCACACCTTCCCCGTGGTGGTGCAGGAGGAAGTGGGGAGTTACCCAGGAACCCCGTGGAACATGGCTCATTGAGATACAGGAAGGGGAGCCTGGGACAGAGCAGGGGTTCAGAGCTGGAGAGATTCACCCCGACTTACTCCGTGGTCGTGATGGGCTCAGCCCTCCATGTGCTGACATACCCAGGGGTCTGTCCTGAGGGTTTTGACCTGCCCAAGCTGCTCTCTGTAGAGGAGGAACAGGCAGTCGCCAGAGAGCCTCTCTGGAGGGACGTCGCTCACACCTGAGAAGGCGGGTGGGGGTGAGTTGTGTTCTCGGAGCCAAGAGCAATAATACCCCCTTCTCCCGGCAGGGATACAGGAGAGGTCTGCTTCCCAAGGGAAAGCCGGGGGTAGGTGGCCACATCCTATGTGGTGCCTGTGTGTGACCATCACACGCGCTCTGGGCCCCACGAGGTGCAGCGAGCAAGCAGGTCACAGGGTGCCTGACCGATTCCCGGGGAGGGTGTGGGCCCTCAGGCAGCCGCTGTTCTGTGTCAGCGCTAGGCTTGGCCTAGGATGCCCCACAGAACAGGACAGATGGAGCGTGGGCGGGCATTTAGGGAGCAGTGACAGAAAGAGTTGATGAGGATGGAGGGAGGTCACGAGGGGAAGGCGTGCAGTGTGGTGTCCCGTGCACCAGCGCTGCCCTGGGAGATGTCTTTTTAACTGAGCCCAGGGAAGGAGAAGGTGTGTGGGGGAGAAGGTGTGTGGGGGAGCAGCTGCCTGCAGAGAGAGTGGTGTTAGGTTGGCGGCCACCAGGTCAGGGAGGAGCTGACAGAGTCCGTGTGGGGAGCATGGAAGACGTTGAGGACTTGGGCCGAGGTGACCCTGGTGAAGGTGGACCCTGCTTGGCTACCGGTTCTGCTGAGGGAGGTCGGCATCCCCTGGGAAGGCTCCAGGCTGGAGGGACTCTGCCGCCCTCTGGTGGACTGGAAGGAAAGTGTGGGTGGCCGAAGTCCCAGGCCAGGCTACGTGTTTTATTCCACAAGGATCTGCACGTTTCAAACGAGGTCACACATATGTTATGTTACAGCTCCATCACCTTCCAGTCCTGTGAGTCCCAATCTCTGTGGCTCCACGTTCACTGTTCTCTCTCCTTCACAATCGGAGGTCCCGAACGCAGATTTTTGTCACCTTCTGTGAGTTTGTGTGTGTGTGCAGTAGGTGGCACTGTGCATATCCTGGGGGCAGTGATGTCTGGGGCTGAGCACTGCACATGGGCTTGGGAGCAGAAGAAGGAGCAGCAGGGCGGGAGGATCAGTGAAAGGGGAGCAGGGACAAGTCATTTTCATTTTCTCACTCCCAGGAACCAGAACCCAGGATTCTGACTCCAGGGCACAGTACCACACCCTGCTGGTGTCCCTGGATGTCAGGAGTGCTCATAGTGTCATGTTGCCTTGGCATTCCTTTTTTAAGGTGTAAATTTATTTGCCTCACATCAGAGGCAGGGCTTGCTCACCATGGCAGTTTTCAATACTGTATCTGGTTCAAGTGACTGCAGTTGGTGGCCAGCGATAAAATCTAAGAGGCATCTCTCCTGCTTGGTGTGCTGGGCTCCTCTCTCTCCATCTGATTTCTTTAAACTGATTTTCTGACATTTGCCCTTACATTTAAAGTGACCACTTCTCAATCACAGCGTGATCTCCTGGTCCCAGTGTTTGCTACTTGCTTTAAATACTTCCATTAAAGTTCGCTGCTGGAAACCTGTCAGATAACACCTGAACTTACTAAAGACATTGGCTTACCGTTCTCTTCTCTCCTCCCTGCCTGGGCTTGCTGACCTCTGTATCTGTGGTCTCCAGGTGTGCCGAGTGCTCCCCAGTGTCTGTAAGTACTAAAAACACTTACACTTTCACGTTGTGGTTGTATCATTGTAGCCTCACATGCCATCCAGAGCCTGACATTGAGGCTGCCCTGTGGGACCTGTGCTTTTTGAACCCCTGCTGGAGCTCTTGTTTTGGGACCTGCAGTTCTTCTGAGGACAGGAGCTTCCAGCTAACTTGATTGAAAAACTGATACGTTTCATGGAAAACACTGGGTCAGATGATGTATTCATAGGCTTCAGCTGCCATAACAAACACCTTAGCCTGGGTGAATTAAATAATAGAAATCGATTTTTCACAGTTCTGTGAATAATGTCCTATTTTAACCACTTTAAAATGTGCAATCAAATGCAATGAACCACAAACACAGTGTTAAGTTACCATCACCACTATTTTTCCTAGAAAATTTTTATCATTTTAAACTGAAACTTTGTATCTTTGAAACTATAATAACTCCCTATATTTTCCACCCTAGACTTTGATCATCTCTACTCTGTCTCTGTGAATTTGCTTACTCTTGATGTTTCATATAAATGGAATTATATATATATGTTATTTAGTTTCTGACATATTTCACTCAGCATAAATGTTTCCAAAGTCCATGCATGTTCCAGCAGATGTCAGAGCTTCATTCCTCTTTATGGCAGATTAACATTCTATTGTATGTGTGACCACATTTGTTTATTCGTGTGCTGATGAACACTTGGATTGTTTTATATTTTATCTTTTGTGAGTAATGCTACAATCAACATTCCCATGCGAGTTACCTGTTTCAGTCCCTGGATTCAATTCTTTGTGTATATACCTAGGAATAGATGCTGTTTCACATGAGAATTCTATGATTAGCTTCTTGAGGAACAGCACAACTATTTCTCCTAGTGGCTGCACAGTTTTATAATCTCACCAGCAATGTATGAGGATTCCAAATTCTACATAAGGCTTTCACTTGTTATTTAACATTTTAAAAGAATGGTAGCTATATTTGTAGGTTTAGTGCGGGATCCCATAGTGGCTTTGACTTTGTATTTTCCTAATGACTAATGATGTTGAGTTTCTTTTCATGTCCCTCTTGATGATTTGCATATCTTCTTTGAAGAAATGTCTATTTGCGTCCTTTGCCCTTTTATATAAATTGGAAGGTTGCTCTCTTTGTTACTGAGTTGTAGCAGTTCTTTGTATATTCTGGGCATGAAACCATTGTCTATGTGATTTGCAACTGTTATGTCTCATTCTGTGTTTGGTCTTTTTATTTTCTTGATAATATCTTTGATGCACAAAAGGCTTGCATCTTTAGCCCAATTTATCTATTTTTCCTTTTTCTTTCTCATGCATTTGGGTCATACCTGAGAATCAATTGCACATTTGAGGTCATTAAGTTTTACCCCCATGTCTTTTTCGAAGATGTTCTTGTGGTTACAGATTTTATGCTTAACTCACTTATCCACTTTAAGATAATTGTTTGATATGGTTGGAAGTACAGTTCTCTAAGTTTATTGCTTTGCATGTGGTTATCTAGTTGTTTCTGCACCGTTATTTGAGAGGATGATTGTTCCTCCATTAAATTATCTTGACACCCTTATTCAAGAGCAATGAACTATAAGGGTGAGTGTTTATTTCTGGACTCTCAATTCTATCCCTTTGGTCCCTAGTTGTATTCTTATGCCAGCAGTTTCTGTTTTTAGTACTTGTAATGTTTTGTGAGATTTCAAATAAGAAAGTTCAAGTTCTGCAATTTATTTTGGCAAAATTGTTTTGGCTCTTTCAGGGGCACTTTTTTAACAGCAAGGAGGCCAATGTTTTGCAATTGGAAAGCTTTTTCTGTCGTATTTCAGAGGGGAAATTTGCAGTCTAGGGATCTTTTCAGGAACTTTATCACAGGTAGGTAAATTATCACCACTTCCTTTGCTGAGGTACTAGATTAAAATGTGTGTTGCCTCCCGTTGAGGAATTGAGAGGCCCTGGAATCACTTGCCTGTGTGGTGAGAGACAGTGAGCTCCTTAATGAGGGGCACAGAAGACATTGCTTTGGGACACAATGTTGTCAGGGGAGCTGTGTGCCTCTCTACTTCTTTATTTTTTTGTACAGTTTATATCTCTGCTGGCAAAAGATATTGAAATCGTTGTTCATTCTCTTGGTTCTTGTTTGGCTGACCTGTCAGCTGGAGCTGGAGGACATGCTTGGAAGGAAAGTGACCCCCATGGGAAAGAGCAGGGCTCAGCAGAGTGAAAGCAGCTGGGACCCAGAGAAGCCAGTGAGGTCTGACTCTTAA